TCATTCTCCAAGGTTCCACCCCCATTACCTAATCATCCCAACGTCCCCATCTCCTAATACCCTCACCTCAGTGGTCAGCTTAGCAAATTATGGATTCTGAGGGAACGTAAACATTCAATCCATTGCATACTCTTTTAAAACATCTGATGGTAATCAGCCTCTTCATTACTAGGTACGTTATAGGAGCCTTCAGTAGTGAAACTCACCTGACACCCCACTTTTCCCCAGCAGTCATCCACTCACACCTGTCCTCCCCCTTCTTACCATGGGGAACACCTTCTCATTCATTCTCTCTGGGCCCTCCCCTCCCCTCCCGTCTCCTCCAGGACCTCAGCCGAGGCTGGGCAAATACATTAAGTGTACCCACACGAGAGCCCACTGGCCGCACATTCCCTCTGACACAGCTGACACTGTGTTTTCATTGAAGGTTTGGGGGCAGCAGGTCATTACTGGACTGAATGAGTCAAAGCAAGACTGGTGTAAGCCCCCTGAGGAATGACGGTTGTCACAGAGCTTGCCACTCTGAGGGCCCAACCAACAGGAACGAGCTTCTCATTTCTTACCCAGCCATCACAAGAAGCGCCAGCCTACACTGGGTTCACCTACACAAGGTCTGAGGAGAGAGCAGCTGCTTTGTCTGTAGAATCTCTTAGATAGTTATTCTGAAATACTGCAGCTTTGGGGGGCACAAGTGATAACAGCCCAAATGGTTCTTTCAACTCAAATCGTAATTCAAAAATATAAGAAACAAAACCATTGGCTGGAATATTTATATGAAAAAAAAACCCTCTTTATTCTTAGATGACTCACTTCTACCTACAGAAAAATGATGCTTAGCCTTATCCAAAGTTTGGTGAGGTAATAATTAGTAAGCTACAGGAGTCAGACAACTGGGAGGCTCCAGCAGCCCTGGATTACCACGCCAGCCGCTTCACCGCCCAAATGCGAAAATAAGGCGAGAGAAACGAGGTGCCTGCAGCAGTGGGAGGCACGTCTGGCTGGAACGAGTGTTCGATTCTCAATCACTTCTCCCTGCATCTCTCTCCTAAGCCCGAGGGGAAGAAAATGCACTGACGTTACCTTTCATAACAATAGCTGGAAGAATCTTTTATTCCCAAACGGGAATTCAACAGAAGTTTGATCCCACGTTTAGGAGTACCACAGCAACACACGTTTCTTTAAAAAAATAAATTCGGAAGAAGCCTTTGTTATAATATTAGAGAATGGATTATTGAGCCCAAACAAGCCTTAAATCAAGAGAATCCATCAAACAGATGATAATGCTGCGTTATTAAATAATATTTTGTTCCTTGTCATCAAACTAAGAATACAATATGATCGTCGACACTGCGATTTTCATTCTGGAGGAAACTGCCCAGTTTTGTTTTGTTTTCCATAAGAGAGAGTTTTCTGTCGATCAAGGCGTATCTACAGCGCCCTTCCTGTCCCCACCCAGAGCTAAGTGTAGAGTGAAGGCTAAGCTTAAAACCACCGAGCGGTGGCCTATTCACAGGCTCGGCCAAAAGTCACTGAATTGAGGCTGCCCCCTTTTTAACTGGCCACGCTGGGCCTTGTTGCTGTCCATGTGGTGCTACAGCATGGCATTGTTCTGGCCACCAATGCCACCGCTGTCAACAGCCCAACAGTGAGCAGGATACAAGAAGATAGAACTCTTCAACTGGGCAAACGTCCAATTCAGGCAGTTTTTTATAGAGAGAGATGCGTGCGACTGAGGAGAAGGTATTCAAAGTCACAATTTTAGCCTCAACAAGGGCACTGCAGACCCCATTTAATGGAAATAAAGATCTTGGATAATCAGGTATTTCACAGACATGTTCTCAGCTTTGAAATCAATGACAATAGAAGAAGAAAACCAAATAGGATCCTGAGGGGATTGTTCCTATTATAAAGCATTTCATTTCACAAAGGGAAATGAAACAGGCTCCTTTAAATCATGTTATACGTTCTAGAATTATTACAAAAGAAAAATGTCTGCATGACATATCAGAAGGGTGCCGAAAGTGAGTCGTGCCAGGGATACCAGTATCAACCGGATCAGTTATGTTGATTCAGGCCTTTGATGGATGCTGAGATGAAGGTCACAGGTTAGATGCCAGAATGTGTCATTTAGGTTTGAAAAGAAGAGAAACATGCAGAGCTTGTCATTCTGGGTACAACTATACACTTGGGTTTTTAGAGAATTGAGAGAGNCTGAGATGAAGGTCACAGGTTAGATGCCAGAATCTGTCATTTAGGTTTGAAAAGAAGAGAAACATGCAGAGCTTGTCATTCTGGGTACAACTATACACTTGGATTTTTAGAGAATTGAGAGAGTCAGAATAGTTAAAGACAGAGGTGTCACAGCTATAGCAAAAAAAAAAAAATAGAGACCCTTGCCAAAGTCAGTAGCATCCTATGGTATATAGGTCATACTGAATTATTACTTTGAACATTAACCATAAACTTTCACTTTCCATACAGGCCATGAAACCACTTGTACTTGAATCAATTGCATGAATGGCCACTGATCAATGACCAACTCTCTCCATATCAATATGAGGGCATTTGCTGTGGCTAAAGTTGAAAGCAGCTGACCCCTTTGCATAAACTCTAAGTCACAGGATTGTGCAAAGGAAGAGAAAATTGTTCAGGAAGAGGAAAAATTAACTTCCAGTTTTCATTTATTACATTATTTTTAATTTTTTCTTAAGGCAGATAAAGTCTAAGTATAAAGCTGTCTTCGTTTTCTAATTTTCTTTTTCTCCAACCTAATGAACAGCCTGGAATCAGCTTTCTGCATACAGGTCATCAGCTGATATGCTTTTGTTTTCCAAAGCATAAAACTACACATCTCTTTCAAATGCATTAGCTAGCTTAAAGGGATCCCAGCCAGAACTGATTAGATATCATTCATAACTGTGTGGAGCCCCTACAATGTGTCAACACAGAGCAACCTGCTGTTTCTGAGAGGTGTTTTTGTTGGTTTGTTTGTTCGTTTTGTTTTGCTTTTTGAGAGACTGCAAGGTTAGATATGCATTCCTATTTTATATAAGTAAACATTTGCTCTAGAAGCAACTCTATACCTGCAAACACACCCACTTTCTCGCAGTAAGCCATAGTGCTAGACAGGATCAATGAGGTATCTGTGCTGGATTCCAATCATTTAAAAAATAAGTCTTTAAATCTGTTCCCCTGTGCATGTAATCTCTGCATGTGGACAGCTCACTTAGTACTTATGCAACAATGATGTCCATTGAAAAATGCACCTTTTTTAAACAAAAGATACTTTTTGTTCCCATAAAGCTTTGTCTGTTGCCATTTCCAGCAACAAAAGATACAAAAAAACAAATTTAACATCCCCAATAGCGGTTTCAGACAAACAGAAACAGCAAACAAAATAATAGAGCAAAAGCTGAAGAAGCAAAACCAAGGTGAGTCGAGGCAGGGGAAGAGAGACAGGGTGGAAGTGAGAAATGGAGTCTAAACTCTGCTCTGTGATCTAAGAAATTCAGCCTTTCCTGATGAAGGGGGCGAGAGGAGAAGGGGTGGTGAGGTTTTCAGCTGAGAAAAAGAAGTGTGTGCTGCCATCCAGGTCCTGTTTCAGTAAGACCAGCAGAGCCGAGACAGGCAAAACCTAGTTGTGACTAAGACTGATTCAATGAAAGCAGCACAAGTTTGTTCACCGCACAGTGCGGCCAGTCAACCAAATCCGAGATTTATAAGTGATAATACGTCAATTCTTTAAAATTTTTTAAGTGCATTCTGGTACCAAAATAGAAGTATGGCTATTCACCGTAAACACCTATCAATTTAATATCATTTTGCAGACTGTGCACCCGTTCTGTCACATCCTCTTGTAAAGAAACAGCTAATGGCCTGGAGGGCTGGAAACCTACAAACTCTTGTCACCTATTTCCCAGGACTGTGGGCCTGAAACTCAGTGTCAGCGATGGAAACCGAATCGCGTCCAGAAGCCAAGGAGTCCCCGCCGAATTGGAGAAGCGCGGTCCTGACGATCCGCGTGCGGGGGG